CTGTAGGGGTATTTTTCTTTAACTAGGAGAGGGAATTTAATCAAAATAGATAAATGGAGTTAAATATAAGGAAATAATGGAAAAAATATTTGTCAGCTGTTTCTCCTAAGAAAGAAACACCAAACCTGGCGAAGGCCAGAGCCGATTGGTTCAGATCGAAGCACATTCACTAGTTAGACTGACCTAATCAAAGTCCCAAACTAAACCCAGACGAAAATCTGTAACAGACCCTTAAAAAAACTGATGTTCACAGACGCTTTCCATCCAACTGGGATGAACTTGAGCTATTCTACAGCAATCAGTGTGTAAACTTTCCGCCTTTAGATGCGCAAAGCCAATAGAGAATAAGTGAAAGGCTTGGAGCTGCAGTGTTGCTTTTGTTAAATATTTTAAAATCGTATAATTTTCCTTAAACTTGACTTGGTCTGTCGTTTAAAATCCCAGTAAAATCCACCGAACTTTGAGGAGGTAGTGTGATTAATGCTAAGGGAGGCACTTTTTTCTGCCCTCTATATTGTTTCCCAATGAGAATGAGATAAAAACAGCCTTAGAAACCTGTTTATTCACAATACTGGAACGACTGGCAGTCGTTCCAACCTTTAAGTTGGAGAATTATCTCTTTCTAATGCATAAAACAACAAAAGCCAAATTTACATTTACTTACAGCTGAGAAACCTTGCTGTATTCCTGCAAAGCAAAAGAAAAATAATGTTTTTTATATTATTTGAATTAAAGATGCAGTATAATTAGCATTCCATGAAAGAAAGCTGCTACTGACCAAAATGAAGGCCTGGTCCTGGACACGCGTGTCCGCCCTGGCATCAGCCAGACCCTCCAGTGTGTGGAGGCCATTTTGGATGGACTGCAGAGAGCTCTGGAGCAGACTGAGCTTCTGCTCTAGACCCCCCAGGACCCTGCTCTCCTCCTTCATCACGCACTGAAGAGCCGATTGCTCTTCTTGATCTAAAGCCTCTCTTATGGCTCCGTACTGCCGCTTTACTCCGTCTAGTGCTTCAGATAAAACCACCTGGAGAAGGAAACAAGTTAAAAGACCTTCTTCTAGTTAGTGGGACTTTGAATCCAGAGTTAAAGATTTTTCTGTGCAGTGGAAAAATCCTCCAGGCCAAAAAACCATTTTATAAAGGATGTTTTTGTCAATAACAGTTGGTCAAAGTGTTTTAAAACTACTGTGGTTTACAGGGTTTAATGAAGATTTAGGCTCAATTATATAAAATCTGAATTTTTATCTTGATGAAAGTAGAATATAGCTTAGTACTCATGACCTCAATGCCAAGAATAAATAAGAAAATGTTTCTTCTTACTCTGAAAGTCTCTTTCTTCTCCGTGAGCTCAGTCACTCTGTTCTTCACTTGCTGTTCAGCCTTCTGCAGCTGTTTGATCTCTTCCTTCAGGTTTGCCTAAAAAAAAAAAAAAAAA